CGACGGCAGGGCGCCCAATGACGGCGAGCAGCCGCAACGCCATCACCGCCGCGCAGCGTCGCGAACCGGTGGCGAGCGTTGCACCTGCTCCGTCCAGTGCCATCACGAATGTCAAGCCAACTGGCGCGACATCGACGGCCATCTCCGAGGCGATCCTCGGTGAGCTGCGTTCGGAGGTTGCTACTCTCCAAGCGCAGGTCGTCAACCTCCAGGCGAGTCTCGACGCGTCGCAGGACACGGCCGAGACTAGCGCCTCGGAGCTTGTCCTTGCCCGTGCCCAGCACGGCAGCGATCTCGAAACTCTCGGAGATCAACTTCGCGCCTCGCAGGATGCCGCTGAGCACCTTGAGGCATCACTCCGAGCATCGGAGCTTTCGGCTGCGACTTGTGTGTCGGCGCTTGCGGCGCGACCTCCAAGTTCGACAACGACGTCAAGGAGCTCGAAGCGAGTCTCAAGAAGGCACAAGAAGCGGCTTCGACCGGTGTCTCCGAACTTGCTGCTGCTCGATCGCAGCACGCTACGGACGTCGAAGAGCTCAAGGGCAGCCTTGAGGAAGCGCATCAAGCGGCTTTGGCCGGCGCGACCTCCAAGTTCGACAACGACGTCAAGGAGCTCGAAGCGAGTCTCAAGAAGGCACAAGAAGCGGCTTCGGCTGGTGCCGCGCAGCACGAGCAAGAAGTCTCTGCTCTGCAGTCGGATCTTGTGACAGCGCATGAGACGTCAGCGAACGTCGCGCGCCGCCTTTCGGCCAACCACAAGAAGGCGCTGGCCGATGCCAGTGCCACCCTCGCCGCCAAGGGCGCCGAGTTCCGAGCCAAGTACGAAGACGCGGTGCGCGGCCGCCGTGTGGTCTGCCCTGCTTGCGGCGACGTCGACGAAGTGAGTCAGTGGACCGTCTTTCCTGGGCCGCTGATGGAAGACACGGACTTTGACATCGACATTGAGGTGGGTCTCGGTGAACCACCGGCACCGCCAGACCTGGTCGCAGCCGCAGAGCTCGAGGCAGAACGCAAGGCGTACGAGGCGCTCAAAGCGCAAGCTGACGACGCCGCAGCCCGCGCCGCATCGAATGAGCTGCGCCTCGAGAACAAGATTTTGAAGCTCATGTCGACCATCAGCGATCTCTCGGCCAGCGTCAACGCGCTCTCGTCGGACAAGTCGGCGCTTGCAGAGGCCAAGACGAAGCTCCAGGAGGAGACGACGAGCCTCGCATTGCGCGTAGCCGCTTTGGAAGCGTCGCTGCAGACACAGCAGACACAAGCCAAGAGCGACATGAAGGCGCTCGAGACGCGGGCGGTCACGGCCGAAGCCGCCCAAGAAGCCAACGCGACGGCGGTCCGGGAGCTGGAAACGACCATCGAAGGGCTCTCGACAAGCGCGCTCTACCGACGCACCCAAGAGCTCATGAAAGAAGTCCGGGACCTGGAGGCTCAGCTGCACCGACTTGGGCACTAGCGGTGACAGCGTATCTAACTCTGTAAAAATTGCATGTTTCAATCAAGCCCGTCCCAGTCTTGGATGGATTCGCTAAAAACACCTTGCAAAAGGGACAAGCGGGGCGTTCCTCAAACGATACCGTCAAGATCCTTTATTCGGCATTTGATTGGCCACTCGTCGACCTCGTTGGCCAATCACGTGCCTGCATTTCGATCCCGAGAAAGAGCATTGCAGCAGGAGCTCGACATCGCAGAGGTACAGGCTTTCTACACCAAGTCCCATGGCCCATTGGCAGACAAATCGCCCAAAGGACAGCACAATGCTACCCGATTTTTCGCATCGATCATGGAGCGCTTGGTCAACCCACATCGATGGCGACAACATCCTCAGTCGATGGGACGTTGTGAATCAGCTCTGCAGAACGTGCGATGGACGCCGGAACAACGATCGCTTCAGCTCCTTCGTCTGCGCCAGGCAAGGAGCGTCGTGAGGTTCGTCGCGGGTCGAGAGACGCTTGCCTCGAAAGACAGCGATGCACGTCGAGATGATGATACCCTTTTTCTCATCTAATGATGCATCCAACTGGTGTGTTTCGATAGATTAACGTCCTACTCGGCGTCGTCATCCGAGCCGCCGCTGGTCTTGGCCTTCTTGGCCTTCTTCTTCTTAGCCTTCTTCTCTTTCTTGTCCGTCTTCTTGGTGTCGCCATCGTCGTTCTCGTCCTCTTCCTCGTCGTTGCCGCTGAGACTCTCGTCGGAAAAGTCGTCCGAGCCGTCCTCGTCCGACTCGGCGCCCGGGCCAAAGTCCGAGTCTTCTTCCTCCTCTTCATCGACCTCGCCTTCTTCGGGCCCGAGCGCCTCGTTCATCTCTTCGTAGCCGCGCTTGGCCGGCGCCGTCGCCTGCGTCTCCTTGAGGTTGCGGATCTTGAGCTTCTTGGACGTTAAAAACTGCGAGAGCTCCGGAAACTCGCGCCGGTCGATGGCCGAGAAGAGCGTCTCGTGCGCGAGCTCTTGGCCCACCGCGCGGCAGCTCACGAGCAGATCAAAGTTGCGCGACGCCGACGTGCCCGACTGGCCCGCGTAGCGCTGGAACTCAATGTAGTCAATGTCGTCGTACCGGATGAACGTCGTCGGCTTGTGGATGAACATGAACGACTTTTCGAGCGGGAAGAGGACGCCCGAGTTGGCTTTGACCGCGCACTTGACCGCGCGGTCGCCGCTGTGCGTGACAAACTTGCCCGACGTGTAGACCTTCTTGCCAATGATAAACTTGAAGAGCGTCGCGACGATCTGCGGAAGCGCGCCCGACATGCGCTCGTGGATGTTGCCGCCGTACGCCTTGATCTCGTCGGATGTCAAGTTGACATCGATGTGCACTTCGTCGCGCGCGAGCTGGAGCACGAGGTGCGGGTAGCCTTGCTTGCCCTGCCGGATCGGCTCTTCGAGCGAAATGACAAACGCCGTGTTGGTCGAGTTGGGGTACTCGAGGAGGAAGCACCGGTTGATGTTGCTGTACATGATCTTGTAGTCGTACGTCTTGCCGTGCATGCGCAGAAACGACCCGTAGAGCTCGATCGCGTACCGGCCACGCGGCGTGAGGAACGTACCCATGGATTCGTCGAGCTCGACGATGCTCTTGCCGGTAATGTTGCTAATGTTGGCGCGCGCGAGCACGTCGTCCTTGAACGACTCGGCGCTCATGCCATCTTCGAGGTCGCCGGGAATGTACAAGCGCATCTCGACCAGCGTCTCTTCGTCGCCCGCGATCGTGTCGTCTTCGTGGAACTGGAGCTCGACTTCGGTCTTGCCCGGCAGCGCGCATTGCGAGATCGACTCGAGCGGCAGATCCATCGCGATGCCATGGTCTTGCACCATAAAGTTGAGGTTGGAGCCTTGGAACTGCATCGTGCCCCAGTTGCCGCCGCCGGCCGCAATCTGCTCTTCTTCGAGGTCGCGCCCAAGAAAGTCCATGGCGCACTTGGTCAGCACGTCAATGTCGGCCTTCTTGAGGCCGGCGAAGCGCACGGTGCGCCCGCCCTTTTGCGAGACCTTGAGGTGGAACTGCTTGGGGCCCATGGCCGAGTAGAGGAGGCTCACGATGTCGTCCTTGGGCACCTTCTTCTGGGACTCGGTCTGCCGGCTGCGCCAGAGGAGCCCGGAAGGGTTGACGACGAGGACGCCGCTGCTGTGGCCCCAGAAGACGTTGCTCACCACTTGCTCCTTCTCCATCGCCCCAGATATCGAAAATGGCCTCGACCAGTGCCTCAGCAAATGCAATTCGGCCTTTCCGTCCTAATTAGGCACGTCACCGGCGGTCAATTCGGCCCCCAACCTCCCGCCAAAACCGCTGTCGCGTACTAAACACACGCAACTCTTACAAAAGTCCAACCGCTTAGTTAACAGATAGCTCGTGCACCGTCGACGCGCAGGTAGGCCAGGAGCTCGATGTCGGCCGCCGAGAGAGGTCGAGCGGTTGAGATAGATGTGATCACACGTGGACAGGATGGATGGCGCGACGACGAAGCGCACTCTGGGCGGTGGCCTTTTAGGAACGCAACTGTGCTGTCGAAGCCGCCTTGGATTGCGCCAGCCATGGCCCACGACGTGCAGCCTTCATGCCGATGGGCATGGAGATAGCGGACGACCTCGAGGTGACCATTGGCTGCCGCACCACTCATGGCCAGCGTCGTGCAAGGCTTTCTGCGCGAATGCAAGTAGGCGACGACGGCCAAGTGTCCATGAAGCGCAGCTCCGTCCATGGCAGCTTCGGTGCAAGGAACGCCAAGCATCTCGAGACGCTCCACGATGGGTAGACAGCCGCGTTTGGATGCAGCGTCGTAGCCCCTGGATGAGCATCGCACGGAACCGGTGATGGAGACCAGGTACTCTAGCACTGCGATGTGTCCACAGCGCGCCGCAAAGTCGAGTGTGTTGGACAAGAATGCACTTGGTGGCGACTTGAAGCATAGCCATCGGCGTAAACGCTTCAGATCCTGCGTGAGAACCAAGAGATGCGTGGCGAGCATGGTTGCCGGTGCACCTTCGCAGAGGAAGAGGGCGTTTGCTGAGACGATGTGCTTCGAGCTGGTGTCTGCATCGTCCTTGAGCTCAAAACAGCTAGCATCAGCGACCTGCACCTGTAGGAATGCGAGCGCATGTTCGTATTGGGCTGGCAGGAGGTAATATAGAGCGTCGTCGTAGCTGCGGCATGTCGCGATCGCTCGACACTCGGCGACGAGGTCGTAGAGATCGCGAGGGAGCCCGGGCTGGAAGGCCCAGAGCAGCGCCATCAAGTCGGGGTTACAAAGAACGCGTCTCGCCGCCATCGTGGTGAGCTGGCCACAGTTCTTAGTGCAACAATGAGTCAAGACCGACCAAGATCGTCTTGGCTATCGGCAAATAAAGCCTGCGCCCTTGTGATTGGTGGTCATTGACGGAAATATCAAAGTTACAGCCAATCCAAAGGTGCCATGCAAAGTAGGGGGCCCTAATAAAACAAATCGGTCCACATACAAACATCCAGTGTTGCGGAAACGTGGAGGGTCTATGAAAACCGAGTGCCGGTCACAACGACGGCAGCGGTGTGTAATAAAGCCCCGGCCGCATTGGGACGGGACAGACTTGCCGCGCCAGGATGACCGACCGGACGTACGAGTTCTTGCGCCTTTGCCAGGGCCACGTCCCTCGGGTCGAGCCCCCGAAGCCCCGGAAGCAGGTGCGATGGCCCACGAGGTGGCGACGTAGGCTAAGCCACGCTATAGAAGCCGCTCTCGGCCGCGCAGCAGCAGGCGCAGTTCAATGCGGCCGCCTCGGACGTCTCGAAGGATGTCAACAAAGTATCACAGCGACTGCAACAGCTTACGCTGCGTATGTGTTGGCGCGCCGCGCGACGTCGACCTTATATATCGTGCTAGTTGTTCGGCAGACCAACATGTTTAACGACCCGACCAACCAAATCAACGAGCTCACGCAGCTCGTCAAGCAAGACATCAACATCATCCACGCCAAGCTCGACGATCTCCACGTACATACTCGCGCCGTCCCACGAGAAAACCATAAAGCCCATGCTAACGTCCTAGGTCTATCAAGAAAGCCAGCGGGCCGGATACTCATCCGATCAAGCAGCAAAGCACTCGGATACAATCGTCAGTCAAATGAAGACATCGCTGGTGTCGACGACACAAGGCTTCAAGGACATTCTCCAGGTGCGTCGTTGTGTGCGAGCGATGGGGTTGACGAGGACATAGGTCCGGCAAGAGACGTTGCAGCATCAACACGAGCGGAAATCCCAGTATGGTCGATCCAACCCGAGGTAGACGACGACTAGACTACACCCGTTGGTATAAGTGCTGGGATAGTCTGCTCGGCAAGCCACTGGCATTTCCGTCGTTGCCGCGTCCAGATGGCGTCGACGCTGGCGAAAGCGAGTCGGCGCCGCTCATTTCGGCCCAGGTACACGACCCTCTGCCCTCGTCAAACTGTGGCATCGACCACGTACGTAGAGCCAAGAGTTTGTTGTGAACGAGCAAGGCTACGCCGAGTCCCGCGCAGAGGCCGTTGGTCATATTCAGTCGCACATTGTCGAGCTCGGCGAAATCTTCCAGCGGCTCGCCGTCATGATCAGTGAGCAAGGCGACATGGTCCAGCGGTACGCATCCTCCTCCTTCCAAGATCTCAACTGTGCTATTGTGCTAGCATCGATGACAATGTGGACGAGACCGTCATGAACATCTCGGCGGGCCAGGAGCAGCTCGAAAAGTTCTACAATAGCCTCTCCAACAACCGCATGCTCACGATGAAGATCTCCGCGATCCTCTTGGTCTTCGTCGTCTTCTTCATGTTCTTCCTCGCCTAGACCATATCTGCACAACACGACTCGATGCTTCTACTATATAAAAACAAGCGTGTTGTCGTTACTTGGTCTCTTCGCCGGCCACGGTCTTGCCGAGGAGCTGGTCCTTGAGGCCGTTGAGGTACTTGCCAGTCGCCGACTTGTTGTCGGTCATGATGGCGCCGACGGCGAGCGCCACCACGGTCGCACCCTGGGCGAAGATACGAGCACGCATGAACTTTTGCTGTGTCCGCGAGTCGCCGCCCGAGACGAACGTGCGCAGGCCGCCTGCAAGGACCACCGCCGTCACGGCGCAGCCCACCGGCACAAACGGGTTCTCGGCGAACTTGCGCTTGAACTTCTCGGTACCCGTCTCCATCATCATCTTGTTGCTGCTGCTTCCTGCCACGAAAATCAAGCTTTGGCCTTCGGAGGAAGACATATCTGGTGCGCTTTATGCCCATGCATTGGCGCACCTGCCGCCGTAATCGGTGCCGATCATGGTGGCGAGTTTGGCAAGAAATAGTGTGAACTCGCACCTGGCAAGGCATGCGCCGTATAGTCAACAGATTGCGCCATGCAGCACTCAATTTATACTACTACATCCATGCTCTCTTTGGCGGCAACGCTGGGTGCAATCGTCGACCTTGGGTGTGTTTCCTCTGTCGTATTTCGCCTCAACGATGCGGGTGCGTTTCTAAAAAAGGTGCGTCAATTTCACCTTGCTTTTTGTATGTGAACTGCCACGAACACCTGCACACGAAATCCGTGCCTGGTCGGTTACACGCAAATGGTGTTCTCGAAGTGTATTTTAATGCGCTCGGGAACCATTTTTTATTGGTTTGCTAGAAACCTACCTCGTGGTTTGTATGCAATATCAACCCTTTGAAATAAAGAGAGAGGCTGTGCCGAACGCCATGGAAAAACGAAGATATGTGTTCTCAGAGGTTGCGCCACGCGTATTCAAAAGCGGAGGTTTCAAGCGGACGGCCGTGGGTGGCTGAGCTTTAGTAGTCAATTGGTGCTTTTTGCAAACGACTTTGTCACGATGAACCGTCTTAGCGTGGCTCTCCTGAAGCGCTCGAACCGCGCGTACAGCTCCTTGACGCTTACGACGCAGTGGGAGCCGCTCCGCGCCAAGCTCGCGGACCCGCGCGCCCGCGCGTCGCTCGACTCGCTCAAGCAGGCGCATGCGGCCATCATGGCCGAAGCCCGCGAGTTTGCCGGCGAGCCCGAGAAGATCAACTTCGCACATTACAAGGCCTTGATCAAGAACAAGGACCTTGTCGAGGCGCTTGAGGAGAACTACGCCAGCATTGTCTTCCCCGACATCAAGCCCGTCGACTGCTACACCGCCGGCAGCTCGCTCGAGGCCGACTTGAAGCCGACGTACGAGCGCCTCGACGCTGAAATTGTCGACTCGGTCGAGCGCATTGAGGAGCTCAAGGAACTCATTGCCTTGATGGAAGAGACGCGCACGACCAAGGCCACGACGATCGATGAGGTCGCCGCCATGCACCCGGAGATCGTGGACGAAATCGATGAAGAAATCGCCAACTACGACTGGGAGAAGGACGTCCCGCAGTAAGCGGCCGCGCGACTACATCGTGTACATCGGGCGACGCGACTTCATTCTTCCGTGCGACGTGGCGTCGACCCGGTTGTTGTCCGTGTGAAAGCATAATACATCGTCCATCATTATAAGACATAGAGAATGTGTACCCGTCGCGCGTCTTCGGCCCACGATCCCATGACACCGAGCGCGTTTTGGGCCCTTGCCTCGCTGCGCCACAATGCCCCGGTGAGGTGATTTGAGCGACGAGCTCATGGACGACCGAGTCTATGTCGAATACACTTACACTACTACAACCTACTCGTCGCGGACGCGGTAGGCCTCGGGCACGCGGAAGAGCTTCTTGGGCTTGTTCGTGAGAGCTTGGTCGACGCACTGGTTGTAGGCCTGGAGCTGCGCCGCGCAGATGGCCATGGCCTTCGTACCGGCGTCGGGGTCGCTCACGCCTTCGGGCTGCTTGCCGTGCGAGTGGAGGCAGGTGAAGAAGGGCTCGGCCACGGCCTTGCAGGCCTTGGGCGCACGCGGGAAGAAGGGGCTGACGCGCAGCGGGGTCTCGGACGTCGACATGGTGGCGTCTTGTTCACTGAAGTTCACGGCAAGATATTCGTCGAAATTCCAATCTTTTTGTCCAATCTGCATCCGGCTGCTGGCATACGCCAAGGCCATTGGCCAAAATGTGGCGCCAGTCTTTGCAGCCGAACTTGTTGGTCGCCAGAGTCCGAAATGTTCTTCCGTCCTGGCGCGACCCTGCGCGTGAACCGCGCGATGCAGCGCGCGCTCGACCGCGGCTCGTCGCGCTCGACTGCCAATGCGATCCGGAGGATCCACAACCAGAAAGTAGTCTTAGAGTCGGTACGTCCTACATGGCTAGCCCGCCAACCTCGGCTCATCCGATCTGCAGCTTGTCCGCCCCGCGCTGGTTGCCGCTACGCCGATGCTCGTCGAGGCCGCGGGCTACATGGTCGACGTCCGAAGCATGTTTACGAGCTTTGAAGAGGACGACGATGGAACGTAAGTCAATCTCTGCACGATTCGCAGGACGCACGCGACTGCCTCCTACGACATCTTCGCCCACTCATTCTCGCCCATAGCTAATATTTGACCAGATAACGGCCGGCGCGTCCCGCGCCTTCCTCTTTGCTCGTCCGGGGTCCAAGACGGTCGCGGTAGGAATTTTCAATAGAGATTGTGTACCCCACTGTACACGACTCCACGCGCGTCTTTCCGTGTCCTATTCCTTTCCCATCCACAAACGTATCCGAGCGCGGGGATCGTCCACAGAAACACGACCTCGTCGCTGCGTGATCCAAGCGGATACGAGCTTGGTGAGAGTCTGCATTTGATCTGCATTTGATAATAAATTAGTGTGCCTAAATATCGGATCATGCTGCTGCCTTACTCGCAGCGGCCGTAGCAAATGGCGGGCGCGGGGTAATAGTCCTCGGGCGGTGTTGTCGAGACGTACCAGCCCCATTCAGGCGATCCAATCCCGCCCATGTCGTCGCCTTGGTCGGCCGTCACGGCGTGCTCCAGCGGCGAGAGCGACATGTAGCCCGGCGACTTGGGGCACTCGGGCAAGTCATCTTCCATCGTGTTGCGCCGCCGGTGGTGACGAAGCTCGCTGTAGTCACTAAAGTCAAACGTGCTGTCCTGCTCGGTGGCTTTGTCGGACGGCGAGACGGTGGGCTTGGCTGGGAAGAGCTCGGCGCTGGGCGCCACGTGGAGCATTCGCACAGGCTCCTTGGCTTGCATGGCCAAGTAGGCTGCCATTGAAAATGCAGTGGCGGCGGCGCAGGTGGCAGCAGCCATGACAGGGTGGTCCCGGAGCCATCGGACGCCACCCGAGATTTCGGTTGGCGTAGGAAAGAAGCTGGACGCGCCGGGCGCGACGGGAGTGAGCTTGAACGGATCCATCCAAAAGTTCAAATCGGGAAATGCGAAAAATTTCCAAACGCGCTTGTCCCGCCGTCAAACGGCCAATGTATATTAATTGTGACAGGAAACCGTCGCAAAACCCGCGAGAGCTTATCGTTTTATACCGTAAAGTCGCTTCCGATTCGCTGCCGTGGCCGTTCAGAAAGGCCAAGTGCAATCTGATTGCTGCCGTCGAGGCTGTCGATATCGATGGCGCGACCATACTTTAACCAAGAGAAGCCCCTCAGTGGGATACGTGTCAGCACCAACGGCAAGCTGCGTGGACAGCTGGGTGTTTCGTCAACACGCGGGTGAAGGGCGGTGTCGATTTCCAGCCACTGGACCACCGACGAAAGGCTCGCAGAACAGACCGCACCCACTAAAAACGTGCCCGGACATGTCCCCTCGACGTCCGACAGGGTCATGGTTGTGCACGTGGTATTAATAATGGGCTTTTCTGAAGCGTGCGGTACGCAAGACGAAGCGCCCGCGACGTCCAGAGTCGTGCCGAGACGCCGTGCCGAGAGGCAGCCGAGAAGTGCCATTTAGGAAGCACCGTATGCAAGTCTCGACACTCAGGAGCGTGCTTGGAACGTGTTCATTGAGGGTGTTAACGTAGATTCCCTTATGTTTGCGCCACGAACACGCGATGAGAGAACCTCTGGAGGAGCTTCTGGAGCTTCTGGACTTGGCTTCTAGAGCATTTCTCGAAGTGTCACGATAAGGAGCTGAGCTGCGCAGTAAGACGTTGTGCCGAAAACGGTTCAAACTATGGTTGACAACCTTGACGAATAGCAATGTACGTTAGGTCTATGAATCAAAGACCGGCGCATGTTGCTGCACCCGTCTTCTTTGAGTCACCAGCACCCGTTATAGGGCTGGGGTTAGCAACATGCGGCGTGCACTCTAGGGCCGGCTTCCGACTGCGACCGCAATTTGACTGGCGTGTGCTTCCAGTGCAACACCTTGGCGTCCCAGAGACCTTCTACGAGCACCCGGGCCGAGCGGCCTCATTTATACCTCTACGGCAGCCATCCCACGTCCTTCCGCGATACGGTGACTTCGTGTACCGGGTCGCGCTGAAAGCCGAGCTCGTATACAGGTAAATTTCAGTACGTGCACCAATAACCTTGCCGATGGTCGCCACATTAAACGAACTAGAAAGCGTGGAGCACCACGACGCTAGCTACTCCACTGGTACTGAAATAGCATGAGACTGTGGGATGCTATTTCGGCAAACATGCTCATGTCGCTTCTCGTAAAAACCGAAAGCAGCAGGAGGACTTGCGAGCAATGCATACCGGTACACGACGAAGGGGCGTTGTTGTTGAACTGAGTTATATGACATGCAATTATAAAGATATGGTGGACTTTCTAATGCGCTTGTGGGGCGTGGCCGGTGCGTCAGCGAGGAGCGTTAGTGGTCGTGATTCGAGATTGTGCGAGGGACCAGGTAGCGTGCACACCGAGGGCCAGACATGCTGTCGTGCGATAGTGGCTACCCGGATAGCGAGCGCGGTAGCGGGAAGTTGCGTCAGCGTCGAGCGGAAGACACGGTTGTTGCGTTCGAGCCAAAGACAATACTACAATAGTACCAGACGCAAGCGCGTAAGATCGGCCAGAGGAACGAATGGAGGACTTGTGGGCCGAGTACGCGCGGCGATATCGTCGTAGAGAAAGCTAGCGGCCGACGACGGGAGTTGCATCTGCAAAATGCCCCGCATCGGTGCAAAAGCGCGCCATATCGCTCGGACGCATGGGCACCGCACCAAAAGATGGTCGTACGTTTCATGGGCTTGCACATCGCAGAGAAGGCAGTGTCGAGCATCGTGGCCGAGAAAGTGCAAGCTGGAGCTGGATCGGACAGCCACGGCTTTCAGCGCAACCCGGTACACGAAGTCACCGTTTCGCGGAAGGACGTGGGCTGGCTGCCGTAGAGGTACAAAGGAGGCCGCTCGACCTGGGTGCTCGTAGAAGGTCTCTGGGACGCCAAGGTGTTGTACTGGAAGCACACGCCAGTCAAATTGCGGTCGCAGTCGGATGCCGGTCAGTCGGACGTCCATAGTCGCCGCGAGGACGACACGTGGTCCGAACTTGACGAGCCATGGTGGGGCACTGGTTGGGCGCACGTCATGATCGGCAGGCGGGATGAGCTGGAAGCATCGAACGAGAGCGGTCGCGAGCAGCCGGATCCAACGGCGGGTTGGCTGCAGCGCTGGAAAAAGTCGTGGTAGATGTTCTTCAAGTTCGGTGACCGTGACGACAAAGGGCGCTCTCGCTATTTCAGGCTTCAGACGGTGTTACTGCATCGTCAGCACAGCCACTCGACGCTGCGCCGGCGTCAGCGTCGGGGAACTAGGGGTCGCCGTGGCTCGGCTCGGGCCGGCTTGAAATCTCAAGCTCGAGCGGACCGGCTTGAAATCTCAAGCCGGAGCGGACCCCTGAATCAGCTTCAGCCGGGCTACCCGGCCGGTTTTCTCAGACCATGAGGATAGACTGTTTAAAGCAGCACAATGGCGATGTGTGTTGGCTGACGGCGGCAACCAAGAGTAACGTTAGTGCCTCTGATTTGCAGTTCATTTGCGCTAATGGTGAGCTGGGCCGCCGAACGTTATCGACATTCAAGACATCATAGCCCACGCTGTGCGTGTGGACTTCGATACTACAGCTAGGAAGTGGAAGGAGCACCGCACGAGCCCTAGGCGACAAAAAACTCAACGTACGCTGTGTGGACCTTACTAGTACATCGTCAATCGATCTGACTCTTATCGAGCGACATGTACTAGTACTAGGGCTTGGAGGCATCCGAAATGCGGCGAGTCCACCTTGAACTATTAATAATGCTTCAGCCGGGGCATCTTCAATCCTGCCGACGTTTGAACTTCGCACCAAGAAGGAAGCGCGCTGTCGACATCGCCTCACTAATTGTGTACTCCCGGGTAGGTGCTTTAAGGCATCCTACACGAAGGGTGGGTCCAACCTGTTCATGAAGGAGAAACGTAGCGATTTTTCAAGTACGATTCTCGACCGCCTCCCACTTTCATGACAATCCAACTCGAGCTTCGAGCGGTCGATCCAACAGCGCTGTAAAAATATTGTGCGGTGAACGAAATGGAATGTGCGTCAGAGGCATCGTCGAAAGAAGCACACGACGACTAATGGGCAATTGGCGCCGACTTTAAGACGGTCATTTCTGAGTGGTTTATCAAATAAGCTTAGTTGGACGACGCCACGAGCGCGTTTCAAATCAAAAGAGGTTGCATCCTTCACAACAAAGAATCGACTCGTTGTGTCGGACAGCAAACCTTGGCCTTCCGTTGGCGTGAGACCGAACGAACTATTGATTTGTAGCAAGTATGTATGTTGTAACCACCCGTGCACAAAAGGTCGCCCTCGTAGACTGGTGCGTGTCTTCCTCACACATCACGTCAGCTTCAATCCAGACATGACGCCACTCATTTTCCACCTCTCTCATGACGCACTTCAGAAACCACTCCACTGCCCCACCACGCAGGCTCTACTCGAGCGAGCTGCCACGGCGGGTTTCACGACGTGTGTCTGGTACCATGATGAGCCACATTTGATGCTCCAGTTGTGCTTTCTCCCCAGACTTTTTGTCTCGGGCCGCGACGCGCTCGCGTAAACAACGTGGAAAGTGTTTGCTGGATTGAGCCTTCATGTCGCGTGTCGCCCATCGCTCGGATTGGATAAAATGCAACATCAGTCGAGGCCTCTCACAGGGCGTTGTCGGTCTTCATGGGCTGTGATTGGTGCTCTCGACGCTGCGTTGCCCAATAAAAAGCATGTGCTGTGTCCAGATCTGTCTCCAGCCCTACTTTTCAATTTCAGCTGCTATGGTCGGGAAGCGACCGCTGGTTCCCGCGACAGCCAAGTACGCGAGCAGCTTGGGCCTCACCAAGGCAGCGACGCCGCTCGACAAGATCAGCGCACGCAAGGTCGTGCGCCGGGCGCAGAGCAAGGTCAACCAGCGCCGGTACCGCGCCGAGCAACGCCAAGCATTTGACGCGCTTGAAGGCGAGGTCCAGGAGCTCACCAACCAAGTCGCTCGGTACGAAGGCCAAGTCGAGGCGCTGCGCTCGGCCGTCCGTCTCCGCGAGCCCGAGCTCAAGACGGCGCTCGAGTACTTCAACTTGTTTCATGACGGCTTCCAAGTCAACGCGCCGTCCGTCGCGCAGGTCCAGCGGGACTTTCTCTCGGGCGTCATGGCCCCGAACCTCATTTTTATGGGCCAGGTACACGCGTCTGATGTCATACTGTGTGGCTCATGCGTGCTGACATGTAGAATGGCATTGCCAAGCTCTTTGAGCAGTGGACGCTGTACCACACGCTCTTCCACTCGTTCACGATGGAGTGTCCGTCCTTGGAAATCGTCCACCTCGACGCTGGCGCTTCGGTCGTGCGCGCGCCAGCCGTGCTCTATTTGCGCCTCTCGCGCTTCTCGATCGAGACCTTGTACCCACATGTGCTACGCTCGGAAGCACTCGTGCAGCAAATGGTGGGCCGCGTGCTACGCATGCCTGTGCTCTGCCAATTCCACTTTGACGGCCACGGCATCGTAACGCGCTTCGATACCTTTGCCGACGTCACGGTCGGCTTGACTGAAATGCTCGAGAGCTTTGAAGACGCGCTCACGGTGCTGGACGGCGTCCGTATCACGGCCGAGGCCGAGCTCCAAGCTCCGAGCGAGCACGCTTGCTAGTAGCTCCAACGACCAATGTAATGTTATTTGCGCTCCGCACCTTCTTCTTGAAGGATGCTCCATGGGAGCGTGTGGGTTGAGGGGACCATGAAATAGGAAAAAGCTGGCTGGACCAAACGTCCAAGTTTGAATGATGTTATGTTGAAATGTTGGAACAGAATACATAGTAGACACGGACATGCGTGTGGCGGAATAGACATCAGCGCACCGTCGAACTTGACCAGGAGCTTGCAGGAGCTCTTGCAGGGCGTTCGTGTGGCATCATGGACACGCAGTTCAAACGGATCTTCACCAGGCTTCCTCGCTCGGATCGTCGGTCATTCCAGACACTAGAATCTGAAGCGATTTTCTCTGCAGCAGCTGCAATGAACCTTTCGGTTGGATCCACAACACATCTCGCATCGCGCCCAGCTGCCAACGTACGACTTGCTTCTCGCCCATGGGAAAAGAACGAGACAGCGACTGACACCACGAGCCCAGACGTGAGTTTTTCAAGAGTTCCGTGCTTTTGAACAAATTTACGCTCTGTCTGCTTTGATTGGATGAACTGCATCCGAGCTAGGGTCGAATGTAAACAGTTTATAGACCCTTGAATCGAGGTTCAAGTACACTGTCCAGCAACATCCAGCTGCGTCGCAAGGCTCTTCCAAGGACTGGTCGGTGACGCCATGCAGCAATCGTGAAACTGGCTGTGCACCATGGAATTGCGCCCTGGGTGCTGGCTGGACAGATATGCAAAAGTGGTCGGTGCTGCTCAGTCGACACAAATGACCACACCGGCGGTTCTTCCACACCGCTGTCCGGAAGCGTTTCAGGACCAGCAAGGAAGGCCGGTCTCGTCACGTCAGGTTGCTTTGCAACGACGTCTGGCGCCACGACAGTCCCATCCCGATCCCGTCGATGGCTTCGGACGACGCTCATCGAACGCTACCACCAACATCATCGCAGCAGTGTACAGATAAATATAGCGGTGCGAGACGACGACTATTGTTATTAGGAGTAAAAGTTGGCCCCCGATGATCACTTTCTGTAACCCGCTGGCACCGAGTCACGTAAGGTTGACACACCCGCGTTGCACCGTGCTTGCCATCTGCCGCGTCCTCTTCATGGGTAGGTACTGTATGCCACGTGTAGAATCGAGCGGGCGCCTTCGAGTACTTGATAATGCTCGAATCACCAGTCGCTGTCGTCCGCTTTGAGATCGTCGCGCTTCCCAGCAAAGAATTGTGCAGTGATGCACTTCTTGCCTTGTTGCTTTGGACACGGCCACCAACATTGATAGCGTCGGTACAATCCCATGTTACAATCCCTATTTTTTCTATTGCTCTTTACTATCTGCGACATGCGGTGGCTTTTTTGGAATGTTTGGCTAGTTGCGTCAAAATACGAATCGCCCGACCTCGGCCGCTGTGATCGCAGATACAAACACGGTCAGAACTGAATCAGCCATGACGACGCCAGCCGAAGACGATGCTGCCAAGGCGAAGCGCCTCGCGCGCTGCCGCGTCAACCAGAAGCGGTACCGCATCAATAAGAAGCACTCGCACGCCAATCTCGAGAAGGAGGTGCCAGAGCTCGCCAAGAAAGTCGCTCGCCTCGAGGGCCAGCTCGACGTGCTTCGCGCCGCCGTGCGCCTGAGCCAGCCCGAGGTGCACGTTGCCGCTGAGTACTTTCGCATCTTCCGCTACAGCCAGTCGCGCAACGCGCAGCAGCAATTTGAGTTTCTCAACGCGACCATGGACCCGGGCGTCAACTTTATGGGCCAGGTACGACATGCGATGCGCCCCTCGTCGTCGTCAGCTAATGAACACGGCCTTAGATTGGTATCCAAAAGCTCCTCGACCAGTGGACGCTGTACCACACGCTCTTTCACTCGTTTGAAATGACGTGCACGCAAATGACGACGATGACACTCGAGCACAACCGCGTCGTACGGGCGCCCGCCAACATGGATCTGCGCATCTCGCGGACGACGCTCCAGGCGCTGTACCCGCACGTGCTAAGCAACGAGCGGCTCGTGCAAAAGCTCATCGGCCAAGTGCTGCGCATGTCGGTGCTGATCCTCTTGCATTATGACGAAGACGGCCGGGTCATCATTTTCGACACCTCCGCTGACATGACGGTGGGCTGGGCCAACCTGCTCGAGAGCGTCGAGGACACGCTCGTCGTGCTGGACGGTGCCCGCATCAAGCACAACGCCGAGCTTCAAGTCGAAAAAACCATCACCAGCAGCTAGGCGAAGCATACGTCTTTACAGATATAAACATTGATACGTGGTTCCGTTCTCTCTATACAGTATGTGATTGTCCATGGCGTATTGCTTGGGGATGGCATTCCTCAGGCACCACCATAGCAGAACGGCCCACAGAGAGAAAGACGCGGCAGTTCCAACCGTAAATATTACGGTCGTGTAATCGTGGCACCAAGCGCCGAAAATGATCACGCGGCGCTGGCGTGCCCAACAAGCGTCAGCGGAGCAGTAGCAGTGGTCTTTCTTCTCCTCCTGACGACGACAGCCAAGTGGTTCAAGGCTACTTACAGTCCAGCGGCACGACGATGTGCACAGCGAGCGCAGCTGCGCAGGGCGAGAGATGCCATCGCTGTAGTTGCTTTAGGCATACAGTCATGTGAGCAGGGATCGCGGCAACGGGCGGGGATGCGGAATGCAGGCAACACCAAATCAATCCCTGCACGAGGATTGGTGGATTTGAAGTGCTGTGCCAGATTAAACGACCAATCAACGATGTGCATGTCACAAAAGATATGCAAGCTTCAAGTTTGTATGCCGCGCGATGCCACGTTGCTTTCATTGGCAGAACCACAAGTGAACACGTGTACTTGACACACACGATACCGTTATTGCCTATCCAGTTGGGGCCAGAGAAAAGAGACACAAGCCACGGCGTTCTTGACATTGAAGGAAGGCGACGAGCGGTCACATCATTCCTCCCAAAGGCGTACTTCGCAAAAACATGCAAACTAACGCTCACGCAGCGCCAAGAACCGACAAGGCGTGTGTGGCTCACATCGCCACAGCTCTCCAAAGCCTCGTCCGTTTCCTCTTTTTTTCAAAGCCAGACGCGACAAATATATTTTTTGCAGCGGTAGCCACGCGGATCGTTGGCGTCGGAACTTTTCTCTTCTCGTGGGTGAATGGCCCATGATTACCACCCACCCCTACGACACATCATGCGTCGAGGCTGTGACATATATCAAAATCTCGCAATGCCTGCTCAAAATCGAAGGATACCGCGTCGTAATTGATTGGCACAGAGCAGCAACGCCTACTTGTAACCAGTTTCGAATTTGCCCGCCGCATGAGCACAGACATGCTGCAGCGACCAGCTCCGTACGTACCGCAAATCCGCCCGCTGAGCGACAACATCGCTCTCCGCCGCACCCAAAGCCGCCTCAACCAGAGGCGCTATCGGGCCCAGAAGCTCCACGCACTTGAAGATCGCGAGCGTGAAGTCGCCGAGCTGCACAACCAAATCGCTCGGTACGAGGGCCAGCTCGATATCTTGCGCAGCGGGATCCGGCTCCACGAACCTGAAGTGCAGGTTGCGAACGAGTATTTCCGCATTTTCCAGCACAGTTCCCAGAAAAGCATGCCGTCTTATGGGCAGTACCAATGCGACTTTCTTCGGAGTGTCATGGAGCCCGACGTCCGCTTCATGGGCCAGGTACTTTGACACGGATCGCAGATTTCACAGTTCTGATTGCATGGTTCGTAGATTGGCATCCAAAAGCTCTTTGAGCAGTGGACGCTGTACCACTCGCTCTTTCACTCGTTTGAGATGCGCTGCCCGCGCCTCGAGGTCATCAAGCTCGCCGACGCGGCGATAGTCCGAGCGCCCGCCGTCATGCACCTCCGCATCTCGCGCACAACCATCGAGTGCCTCTACCCGCACGTGCTCAGCAACGAGCGCATTGTCCAAAAGCTCGTCGGCCAAGTCATGCATTTGCCGATTCTGATCCACTTTCATTACGACGCGAGCGGTCACATCGAGGAGCTTGAGACAGTCGCCAACATGACGGCGAGCCTCGAGGAGCTGCTTCGTGACGTCGACGACACGCTCCTCGTGCTCAACGGGGCTCGCATGAAGGGCAACGCCGAGCTTGTGAGCAGCACCACGCCTTGTCCTTGAGTCTCTTGTTCGCTTCAAAAGACGAGTAAATAATGTGAACGTTGTCTTCAACGCCCACGGGGTAGATGACGCTACGTAGGAACTAATCGGGAGCGAGCGGCAGAGCTCATTCGTCACGCGAGGCATCACCTACATGTATTTTGAACGCGAGACGGTATCTCAATTGGTATGCCATTCTACGGGCGTACTGATCCTTGCTACTACGTATCCACCATGGTGGTACCGATGCCAACAGCTGAGGCCAACCCAATATTCGGAAAGAGAAGAAAGGGACAACACTAATAAGGCTGAAGCTCGCAGTATGAAACAGAAAGCCACCCGTCTGGACAAAAGCGGACGGTTGCCACGCACTCTTGACGAGGCAGTTGACGTGCGTTGTGATTGCACATTCTCTATGCACCACGCTCGTGAAGATATCATTTGGACCACCCGAGAGCCGTAAATTTTCATTGGCGCTCCTCACATGGCGTCATGTGATGCGATCCACGACGCCGATGACATCCAAAAGCAGCTCGAGTCGGCTTTTGATGACCACGGGGTCTCTAGCCGATATCAACACGTGCATGTTGGGCGAGGGATCTGCAACTCATTCAGTTTTAGAGAATACTATCAAATTGGTTTTCGGGAGTGTGTGGACGAAGCCGGCGCATCTTCATAGACGAGGCCCGATCTTTATCCGGATCCGGATCAGTTTTGGACAGTGGCTCGTGAGGTCCCCTTGGTGAACTCGGGCACGTTGAGTTTGTTGTTCGCCCGCCAGCCTTGAGAGTGGTGTGTCACTTTTCTACATAGAGACTACGTGGCGAAATATGTTATGCTCCTTCGTGCCTTGCATTCCGCTGTAGTATCTTTGATGGCTCTTCGCTTGCTCGTTGCTCTATGCACAAATACATTTGACCACGTTTTGGAATCGTCCTGATCGAGATCCAGTTCATTCTCAATCGCCCGTGTGGGCCGTTTTCTTGAAGCTCTCACGCCTTTTTCACGAGTTCTGTTGATTTTGCCCGCAGACGAACCAAGTCATCTACTGCCGTCAGAATGAAGTCAATGGTGGTCAGCCCAAAGTGTTTCTTCCTGCGGTTCAGTCATAGTTGTCGGCAGGAAGATAGATGCACACGGCGCTGTGTCGGTGAAGTTGATTTTCTTTTGTGTGCTACCTTGAAAGCTTCGGAGTGGAATGCGAGGTCTGGGCTCAACCGGCAATCGGGTGCGGCGCGGCAGTTCACTTTTGGCTGTGGCAGACACGCTTCGTCCGCCAACACTGGCGAAAATCAGATTTATTCTCTTGAAAATCACCCGAACTCGGCCCCTACGCTACTTCAAAACGTTCCGTACATTGCACTACGACCAACAAGGATGCATATGTAAAGGTTCAAAACGTCCCGTACATTGCACTACGACCATCAAGGATGCGAGCCAATCCGTGTCGAGCTTTTTCTTCGATGGAATTTGGTTGACGCGAGCGAAACGATTATTGTGACGTTGCGGTGCAGTTATTGCTGATCAAATAGGTTGCCGGCCATAATCTATCGATCGCCAACCCACTTCGAGGCCCATACGCAATGATCTCTTCGACGCCGACAACACTCAGTCGGATTCCGACACGAGCACCGCCCAAGTCCAAACGCCGTCAGCAGCGGTACCGCGACCAGAAGCGCGAGCACCTCGAACACCTCGAGAACGACGTCCAACAGCTGCATCGCACCATCGCACGCTGCGAGGGCCAGCTCGAGGTCTTGCGCGTCTCCGTGTGTTCGCACGACGGAGCGCTCCACACTGCAGCCGAGTTCTTCTCGCTTTTTCGCCACGGATACCACGTCCCGCGACCGCACTTGAAGCAGCGACAAGACGCGTTTCTACGCAGCGTGATGCGGCCCGACTTGGTCATTATGAACGAGGTACATCTATTGATTTGCCATACTCCGACTCCAAATGGTATATTCTCCAACTAGAGAGGCCTCGAGAAGCTTTTCGCCCAGTGGCAGGCGTACTATCAGCTCTTTCCGTGCTTTGAGATGGTGACGCCGGCGCTCGACGTGCTCGTGTGCGACGAGACGCGTCTCGTGCGCGCACCTGCGACGCTGCATCTGCGTCTCTCTCGCTACGCCCTCGAGAGTCTCTGTCCACACGTCTTGCAGAACGAACGGCTCGTCCAGCGCTTGGTGGGTCAAGTGCTCTCGATGCCAACGATGATCCATTTCCATTTTCAAGACGACGGGACGATCGGCCAGATGGACACGTCGACCAATATCGTGGCGGCGCTCATCGGTCTTTTGGGCAGCACCGAGGAGGCGCTTGCCGTGTCGGACGGTGCGCAGATCAAGGCAAATGGCGAGCTGCCGATGCTGTAGTGTGGCAGTAGCCTGCCGTGTTAGCGAATCATTTTCTGCCACCTCTGTCGTCTTGAGCATGTGTACTTCACCGCATTTCAAACTCGATCCTGGCCACGCAAGTTTGTGTGCGCCGTGCAGGAAGACTCCCGGTAGTGGCGCCGACGGCCTCTTGGAATACTACAATTGGACTCCATTGGGATCCGAATGTTGTGCCCATCTGTGCACCTGTAAGCTTTTTGCGGGGTAAGAAACGAGGTTCTTAGTTTCATGCTTGGATCGTTTTAGTTTGGCCAATCAAAACGCCTTGCACGCTCCAATTAGCCAATCACCGCTCCAGCTTCAGAAAAGCAAAGTCAACCGACGAGCAGACAGGCCCATTGTTGCCAACTACTTTCTGCCAACCTTCGGCGGAGATCCATCGGTTCAGAAACACTTCAAGGAGCAGTCGCTCGGAAGTTGCTTGGACACATTTCAGAACCGTCGAGCATGCTGCCGACGGACCCGGCGACGTCACCGGCGCCGCGTGCGAGCAAAGAGACGAAGCGAGGCGACGCCGCCAAGCGCAAGTTGGGCACGCGACTCCGCCAGCTACGCTACGTCGCGCAGAAGCGAGAGCACCTCGAGCACCTCGAGGGCTCGGTCCAGCAACTGCACTGCCATGTTGCGCGCTGCGAAGGGCAGCTCGAGGTCTTGCGCGCGGTCAATGCGCCCCACGACAGCGCGCTCAGCACCGCCGTCGAGTTCTTCGCATCGTTTCGGCATGGCTACCAAGTGCATCGCCCGCACATGCAAGCGAACCAAGACGCCTTCCTTCACAGCGTCATGCGCCATGACTTGCTCTTTATGAACGAGGTACGCTGCGAGGACCAGCAGTGCTGTCGCTATACATTGTATCTCGACTAGAGAGGCATCGAAAAGCTCTTTGCCCAGTGGCGGGCCTCCCACGCCATCTTCCCGTCCATTGAGATGGTACCCACGGGCTTCGACGTGCGCGCGTGCGACGACGCGTACCTCGTGGTGGCCCCGGGCGTGCTGCACCTTCGCATTTCACGCATGTCGCTCCAGTGTCTCTGTCCGCACGTCTTGCAGAACGAGTGGCTCGTTCAGCGCTTATTGGGACAAGTGCTCTCGATGCCGATCGTCAACACATTTCACTTTCTTCCAGACGGTTCGATCACGCGCATGGACACAGCTGCCAGCATTGTCCCCGCCTTGCTCGCGCTCGTCGGCGCCGAAAACGCGCTCCTCATTGTTGACGGAGCAAAGATACAAGCCAACGGCGAGCTCACGATACCTTGATGCACAAGCGATGGCGCCAAGGAGCCTCTAACCCTATTGCCCAATGGCTCGTACACGTGGGATCGGATACGAGTAACGTTGTGCGTTGTCGCCCTGAACGCTAAGTGACGTGTCAGCACAAGTCACGCCACCAGCATCACGTGCGCTTGGAGGTCGTTGGAGCCTTGTCGTGGCAGCGAGCCTGAATCAATAGTACTACATCAACGAGCCTGCGTAAGTCGTCGCGCGACCTATTCCTCGGTGAGTAGGGTCCGCCACAGGATGGATTTCTGGGCTCACTCCCAACAACCGAGTGCTGGTGCCACCGCCCACGCTGCTTCAGGCGTAGCACTACGTATGACGTATGCAAAGTCTTTGAGTTAGTTTTCGCTCATTTGATTTCAACACTACACGTTTGATTGATTGACTGATTGATTGATTGATTGATTGATTGATTGATTGACTGATTGACTGACTGACTGATTGACTGATTGATTTTTTGATTGATTGATTGAGTACATGAGACATTAAAGCACGAAAAATATCGGCGGCATCCAGGGATTGAAACCATGACCAGTGTGCAACGATATCGGGTCCAGCGTGCGATACCCCACGTTCAAGGCCACATTGACGTGAGGGTGGCTCATGGTATTTATAGGGTCCCTTCTCCGTTCCAGTGCCTTGTTGCAGAGGCGCTGCCAAGTACTTGAGACAGTGAAGCACGAAAAATGTCGGCGGCATCCAGGGATTGAAACCATGACCAGTGTGCAACGATATCGGTCCAGCGTGCGATACCCCACGTTCAAGGCCACATTGACGTGAGGGTGGCTCCTTCTAGAGTCCCTACTCCGATCGAGTTTCTTGTTGATGAGGTGCTGCCAAGGAATCGTTGGCCGCTCGAATCCTTCGCACAAACAATGAAATGGTACTAGTATGTCGGTGGGAATTGAATCACACGGTGAAATACGTTTGTTTCACCATTTCACGCTCGTTGGATTTCGATGCCCACGACGACGAACGGGACAAAGCGGCGCAAGCCGCGCACGACGCGCACTGAGGTGCAGCAGCGCTACCGCCAGAACCGACGCGCTGCCTACGATGCGCTCGAGACCTCGGTTGCTGCCCTCCATGCTGACGTTGCTATCTCGCAGCGCCATCTCGCAGCGCTGCGATCGACCGCCGTCCGCCAGCACGAGACCGAGCTCAAAGTCGCGATGGAGTATTTTCGCCTCTTTCGCCACGGGTGCCCGGCCGCGATGCACAAGATTGACGCCTTCTTGCGCACACATATGGATTCCGACGTGCGCTTCCGTGGCCAGGTACGCAGCCTCTCCATCGCCAGGGCGGGCTTATGACACGTTGGGCAGACGGGGGCAGACGCGCTGTTGCAGCACTGGCGCTTCTCGGACGCGATGAGCCATGGCGTCCACATGGAGCCTCCAACGATCCAAGCAATCGAGTTGGGCCCGACGGCGATGGTGCGGGCGGTGACGACAGCGCGGCTGCGCATCTCGCGGACGACCGTCGCGGCCTTGTACCCGCAAATCCTCTCGCATGAAGCGCTCGTGCAGAGGCTCATTGGGCAAGAGGTGCACATGACGATCGTGTGTCATTTGTATTTTGACGACGCGGCTTGCGTCATCGAGATCGACTCGCACAACGACCAACGCTTGACGTTGGGGCTGAGTCATATCTTGGGCTCTCTCGACGACACCAATCGCATCACTACAAAAGACGACCATTGAGGACGAATACAAAGCCATCCACTTCAATGGCCCGAGCGGTGTGTTGTGTTGAGTTATTTGCCCTCGCTTGGTATCGCAGCTTTATGGTCGTACATGGTTACACGCATCTTCTATGATGTCATCGTCATGCGTCTCTCATTGCGCACTTCTTAGCGCGCTGCACGTGGGTCTGGTGCAGTGAACTGGCCTCATCAACGCCGCACGCTTCCATCAAGATGTCGATTCCAGCGGGCTGGAGCTCGACTGTCACTCCCTCCTCGGCGAATCCAGCGACGACGGGATCCATACCACAACTTGACACAAGATGAAGAGACAAGAGTAGTATAGTATTAAAAGAGCGTGGTGGCGACCGCCTACGCAGCGTTCGACGCGGGAAAGGACTCGACCGACGGCGACATGAGGTTGTCTTGGAGCGACCCGCTGTCGCTCGTGACCGTGCTCGTCGACCGCTGAACGCGGTAGACGTACACGATGCCAGCAATGGCAAAGTAGACGGCCGCGGCGACGATCGAGACGAGAAAGTCGGACGACTGCGCGCCTTGGTACACGATGGACGCCAGAATCACAAACACCATGAGAAAGCAAACAACAGCACCCGGCAAGCCGAACGGCGACTTGTACGGACGCTCCATGTCGGGTGCGGACCACCGGAGCTTAATGAACGACGACATTTGAAAGGCGTACGACACGAGCGCGCCAATGAGCGAGAGGTTGATGAGCACAGCGGTCATGACGGCGTCGCCAATCGTAAAGTGCAATCTAAGAAAGTCCAATCAGATCCCATTGGTCGCATCCGAGCAATCCTACACGATGGCGAGGAGGAGGCCCAGAGACGTGCCCGAAAGCAGAGCCACGTGCGGCGTGTGGCGCGTCGGGTGCAGCTTGGCGAGGGCGCTCGGGAGAATGCCTTCGCGCGCCATTGCATACAGGAGGCGGCCCATCGCGTACAAGAACGAGTGGAAGCTCGAGAGAAGGCCGATGATGAGCAGCACCGAGACGCCGCGGACCGCGCTCGTGTCGCCAAAGATGGTCTTGTAGCCTTCAAAGAGCGGCGCGAGCGAGGTCATAATGCCGACGGCGCCCGGTGCAATCGCCGTGTTGAAAAAGAGCGTGAGGAACGCCAATGTGCACAGCGAGACGAACGAGAGGATGATGCCCCGGGGCATGTGCGTCGCCGGGTCGATCGTCTCTTCGACCGCGAGCGGGAGCTCTTCGATCCCAAAGAAGAACCACATGGCGAACGAGAAGCCGCTGAAGAGGCCGCCGACGCCGCCTTGGAACTCCCAGTTTTCGGCCACAATCCACTTGTCGTAATCCACGTGAAAGGCGGCGCCAATATAAAAGATGACCAGAAACAGCACGGAAAGGCACGTCGCGACCACTTGGATGTTGAAGCTCATCGCGACGCCGCCAATGTTGAGGAGCACGAAAATGCCGCAAAATAAAACCCACCAGAGCGGACTCACGCTCGAGCTGAGTCCGAGGACTTCGTTCATATAGCCCGAGTTGGCCGAGCAAGCGATCGCGACGACGACAACGACCTTGAGTGCCTCGGCGAGGCCCGCAAAGTAGGCTGCGCCGGGGCCCCACGCCCGCTGGGCAAAGACGTACGGGCCACCCCCGCACGGAATCGCGGTCGAGAGCTCGGCGATTGAAAACGCCAGCAGCATGTAAAAGAGGGACGCGATGCCGAGGTTGATGAGGTACCCGAGGAAGCCGGCGCTAAGGCCGGCCTGCCACCCGAAAAAGTCGCCGCCAATGACCGTGCCGACGCCGAGGGCCCAGAGGTGCTGCGTTTTGGCGAACCGGACGTGCTCGAGGGACTCTTGGTGCTTGATGGCTTCGGGCATGGTTGGGAATTGGAAAGTGAGCTCTGGACGCCAACACGACTTGAAAAGGCAGCCAAAATCGCTCCAGTGATCGTAGCTCTGATATTCTTGAGGTCGCCTGTCGACTCCATTCGCAGTGTGTTAGCACGATAGGTAGCATGGGCAGCTGGGCGCGATATGATAGAAGGCGAGAATTGAAGGCAAGGAACATGTAATGCAGTAGCCGCTGCTGAATAATGGTGATGAGCATATGCGCAAGATGCCATCGAGGAGAAAGCCGATGCGATCACCTATTTGCCGGTCCCAATCCGAGGCACCAATACATCATCAAGCTCAGGCGATTCCACGTAGAGTTGGTACGCAGGCGATTCGACTCGGACGCGAGCGGTCGTTGTTAGCGCGGCTTGTAAACCGCTAACGTCGTTACCAAGTATGGTTGCTGGTCACATCAGTCGTGTCGTTCAACGATAAGACAGTAGTAGCTTTGCTTGCCTTCGCCACGTGCTGGCCCCATATCAGTTTACCTGTCAGCCTACACGTGCCGCCGCCAATGAATGCTCGCCACGGACCAGCCTTGGACGATTCAGAGCCCAGGTTGCACCCAAGGTGCTTCCTTTGGAATTTTTGGCTTGCATGAAATCGACTGATTTTCGTACCCGAGACCGTCGAAGATCGCAAAATCATGGCGTTCCGCCTCGACCGCACGTCGCTGCTGCCAGGCCTCGCAGTCGTATCTGCGACAGCAACGACGCTCCTCGGACCTCTTCGCAGCCACAAGCTCATCGTTGGTACGCTCCGTATCGCACCGAAGCGAACTGACGTGGCGTGATTAGACGGCGACGAGACGCGGCTAACGTCGCATATCGCGGCCGTCCTGCACGGCGTGGCGAGCGAAAGTCCAATCATGGGCCTTCTCCGAGATGCTGTTGCAGCACACGATCGCGTGCACGGAACGGTGCGCAGCCTGCGTCGTCTGCGAATACGAGCTGCTTTAGGGCTGCACCTCCTGGTGAACCTCGTCCACGCCTTCGCCGAGGCAGCACTGGCGCTGCAAGCCCAGTCGATCGATACGTACGTTGCAGCTACTAGCACTCGGCTCTTCTCTTGTCCTTATCTGTGCGTAGCATCGGAATCGCGTCGCGCTTCCAGGACGCGCTGGCCATTGCGCTGGCGACCTGTGACCGCATGGTGATCAACGTCCACGAATGGCTCCGCGAGGCGTCGTTTCAGGCAGCGGGAAGCCCACTCGAGGCACTCGGCGCAGCGCTCACGTAGGCACCCGTATCATCTTTTCCGCACGAGGCTGATCTGTTCGAGTAGCTCCGAACAGGGGGAGGACGCCATGGCGATGGCCGTCGCGATCGCACACAAGATACCGTCGCTACTGACAGACGCGTCTCGTCGACCCACTGACGTGCATTGGTATCCGATGGCGGGCGCCACGTCGACGCGCTTGGTCGAGGGACTGGTCCTTGCGGTGGATCTCGCGCCGTCCCTCTCGCTCTCGCCCACTCATGTGGCCTCGATGGTGCTCATTGACGCGTCGATTGTCTTCTCGAAAGAACTCTGCGATGCCCTTGTGGCGACCAACGCCGACGTGCTCGTCGCCTCTCATGGCATCGAGGCCCAGCTTGACGACTGGTGCCGCGCTCACCACGTCGTGTGCTTTGCCACGCTGCAGCTACACGTGGTGCGTCGTCTCCATCTCGCATGCGCTCACCCTGAATATGCTGCCAGCTCGCTGCCGCGCTGCACGTGCCTGTGTTTGAGAGCACGGCGGTGTTCCTTTCGTCGCCCGAGGCGTCGCCACTGTCGCCGGCCGTGGTCGTCCAGCGCTACCGTTGCAGTGGCACGGTCGATGCGCCGACCAACGATGACGAGCCGACCCGGGCGTTTCTGCAGCTGTCTGGGCCCCCGGCCT